AGCAAAATGAAAGAAACTGAATTAAACAAAATTATACATTGCCCTCTTTTAGTAAAAAAGTCCCTACAAATGGGGCAAAAATATCTGTTTCAATTGCACCCAAAGTTATGATATGAAAACGATAACAGAGCAACACTATCTTGGAAAATTCATCAGGAGAAACTTTACACTGACCTGGGTAAGACTCTGCTAATTTAATTTTATCGTTTCAAGTGAAAGTGACTTGAAACCAAGGGAGACTAATTTGAAGAGTAAGCTTAATAGCAAATGCCTCAGTACATTATGCAGATAATAACAACTCCCGTGTGGATAATAGAAGTTAGCAAGATTACTGAAAATTACACTTTTTTTTTCTTGCCACAGTGAAAATGAACAGACATTGAGTCTTATCTCCTTATCCACATACTAAAATAGAAATTGCTTTCCAGGTTTTACTAATTTTACTGACGGGCTATTATGTGAAGGATTTTTTTCTCTTATGCATTTATTTTGATTTAATTTAAAAGTACACCCAGAAGCAATATTTGAAAGTTATAAAAAATCAGAAAAGGAAAATTCTAGTCATGTACACATCTATGATTTCATATGGCTTTATCAGCAGCATTCATTATGATATCCAAAAATAAAATGAGAAGATTTCTGTTCCAAATGAGTCTATATTAAGCAAAAGATATTCTGCTGCCTCTTTGAAAAACTGGATGTATCTGAAATTAATGTGAACGCCTAAAGCGCACACACAAACTTTACACTGTCAAATACCATAAATGCCATTATGAATAAGTCTGAGATGTTTAGTATTTGCATATGAATTTAAATTAGTCTAGTAAATTATACTTCAAATAAAAGTAAGACTTTCATTTCTCCAATATAGAGTTTTAAAAGAAATCAGCACTGGGAGAGATTATATAGCTACACATTGAGGGAACCCGAAAGACAATTCTATAGCACAGACCTTCTAAGAGCACTTCAGTAAAATGAACACAAGACTCAGAGTCAGAAGACTTGAGTTCCTGTCCTGACTGCAGGTTAGGACCACTTGTGATTTACAAGGGCAGTGTTAAACAATTGCTCTGCTACTTTTGCCTTTGTTGATGTGTACAATGCACCTGATATAATGTGTTCATTTGCACACATATGCACATAGGGGTGCAGGTGTTTAAGAAAATATCCATCTTAACAAACAGCAAATTACTTCCAAATTTCAGTTAAAATTCGAGTCATGTTGACTGTGCTTAAGCATTTTGTTCTACAGCATAATAATACTTGGTGAAATTTCTTTTTTTGTTAACTCCACCAAGTTTTTCAATGCTTGTTTAATTCAGACAAGTTAATGCAACATAAAATATTTTAGCTTAGTTAATAAAGTAAAACACCCTGGTCTGTTTGAAAATTCAGCTACTCCACAAAATGGTTAACTAAAGCAATCTCACAAATCCCGGGCAGTTTCAAAGGATGTACACTGAATTGGTCTATATGACTCCATTCTGGGAATCCATTCTCTCTCCCACATCTAACAGTAGGCATCAAAGATCCAAAAGGAACTTAAACTAGAGATGTAACAAAAGGCTTGACAGTTGCCTGAGGGAAAACATTTTCTCCCCTAAAGTACGTGGGCTTTATTTAAGAGACCCATTAAATTAATTTATAATATTTCACATTTATTTTAATAATGGCAATATAATCTCAGAGTAAGTGACATTAATACATTTACATTAATCTAGATAGAGGATTTGGTTCATTTTCCAATTGGCATCTTAAGGCAACAAAATGCTGGAAGCATTGTTATACTTTAAAAATCATCTAGTCTAGTTATTAAAAAAATATTTCTAAGAAAGAGTCTCCTAGCTGCCGCGAAGATCGGGGTATGTGAGAGATTGAGTTTATCCCCTTTACCATTAATCATTATCATTAGTCCCATTATGTTGTATGAATAAATGATGTGGGGTGCTTTTCCATAATTGCATAGTAACATTACACAATTGGAAAAATATCTTTGACTGAAGCACAATTAAGCCAAATATCCCATTCCAATTAAAATGTCTTAATGTATTAATATTTTCATACTTAACATGGGAAAGCTAATGTACCAAGTATTGGGAATGGAGTGGAAAACAGATTCTGTCTCCAAACCAGTCTAGCATACAGTCTGACACTGAAGAGAAATAATTAAACAATTTTGCAAATAAATATAAATGTACAGCTTGCTAATTACTATGAGAGTGACATGATGCTGCAAAACCATATTGTACAGGATGTGACATAGACTTGGAGATAAGAGATGACTTCTCAGATGAATGATTGGTGAAGTGTGATTATATACAAAGATTTAGAAAAATCTATATCTAATTGTAGACTTATCTACAACTGTAACGGGAGAGCAACTCTTTATGTAACTGTAACTTTCAATTACGTATACCAGTATGACCATTCTTCACAACAATGAGATCAGAATAGACCTCAACTTGTTGGCATTTTTCTCATCATCACTGTTTCCTGACCTGAGCAAATTATGAATTAAACATTATGTCCATAATGAAAATTGATCTTAAACTGTAAATGTACACTCACAGTAAGATTCCACCTTTCTATAAGCTTTCTTACATTCTTTCGTTGTTGTTGAGCAAGTAACTATTCAATAAGTTTCTTCAATATAACTATTCAGTTTATATGTTAGAAAATCTTAAGATAATATTTAAATGTAACATTTTTTCTTATTTACTGAAGAAATACTTGCACCAGTTCTACAATCATTTAGAAAAACATATTCTGAAAAAATTATTCTTTGAAAAAGCTCTTTGGGATTAAAAATAGCAACTTTATATTAGAAACCTAGACATTCAAACCGCAACTCTTGTTTTCAGTCAGAATTGACTTATGATATGACTTCGAATTCATCTCAGTGTCTTGATTTCTCCATCAATAAAGGAGAAATTAAAATTATTACCTAGCTAGAGGGGTCTTATAAGGAATTAATGTATTTAAATTTTTTTAGAGTCTAAGATAAAAGGTTCTAGATGAGTACAAAATATTACTCAAGATGAATGTTATAGTTAATCTCGCATTCAGGTTAATAAATATCACTTTAGATCAAAGGTTTATTTTTTGCATTTCTGCAGAATTATAGTTATTTATCTTCAACATTCTGCTGATGGTAATTTTTTTAAGTGTCATGAACTGTTACCAGGGACTGAAGAAAACAGTTCTTGGCACTTTCCAATTCTGTATTTTGTGGCATTATCTACAGCAGCTATATTGTGCAAGTAACCTTCAAAATTAAAAGTAGCATCTCTGGATCAAAAAAAGAAGAAGAAAAGTACCTAGCAAGCCAATAACAATAACAATTTAAGCAATGAGAAATTAATACTATGTAATAAAGATCTAGAACCAAAAAGAACATGGCATCATTGGGAAGATTGTAATGACAAGTTTTTAAGTTGCTGCCTGCCTATTACAATTTATTTTAAATAACATAAGCTAAATAAAAGTTCTTTTAACTTTCATTGACATTAGTTAAATATAAGTGAGAAACTCTCTTTTTGGGCAAAGACTTATTTTATTTATGTTTGCTTATGGGACAAATGACCTGACCTTGCTTTTTCTTCATACTGATTTTAAACATGTGGCATAGAACACAGGGACATAATGCAACTAAAAACACTGCAGAAGATTAACAGAAATAATCTGATGTGTTGTGGTTTGGAAATTTTTGTGCCAAATTTCTTTCTTTTTTTTTTTTTTTTTTGAGACAGAGTCTCGCTCTGTTGCCCAGGCTGGAGTGCAGTGGCGCAATCTCGGCTCACTGCAAGCTCCGCCTCCTGGGTTCACGCCATTCTCCCGCCTCAGCCTCCTGAGTAGCTGGGACTACAGGCGCCCGCCACCGCACCAGGCTAATTTTTTTGTATTTTTAGTAGAAACGGGGTTTCACCGTGGTCTCGATCTCCTGACCTTGTGATCCGCCCGCCTCGGCCTCCCAGAGTGCTGGGATTACAGGCGTGAGCCACCGCGCCCGGCCCAAATTTCTTAAAATATTTTGCTCACTTCATTAATATTTATTTGGGTTTTCATTGACTTTTGGAAGGAATGAGATTTAGTAGTTAGATATAAAAATGAAAAGACGTCCAGAATCCCTATGGACTCCCTATTGACTTGAATAAATGTAGCCAAACAACCTTTTGCCCATGTATTTACATATGTGTACATATTGCTCCTGGATCAAAAAATAAAAATCTGTGCATTAGCCCAAATCTACATGAGAATCGTAAACATTAAAAAATTATAAAATTATAATACTGAGGTGAGTAATTTTTCCTATTAGTAATATTTTTCTTACTTTTAGACACCATAAGAGATATAAATAAGCAGCTCATAATGTTTTTTGTGATTCTCTGAAATTGGTTTTGGGAAATATATCCTTGAGGTAATTTGCAAAAAAAAAAAAAAAAAAAGGAACTAAGAGAAATGAGGAAATAGTCATAGTCAATTTAATTCAAATATCTTTTTTAAAAAATTTAGTGGCAAATTTAATTAGTTAAAAAGGTTTTTTTTTTGAAGGGATATAGCACTGTAAGAAGAGCCTAGGAATGAATGGACAGTAACTATTCAATTTGATGATATGTTAGGCAGTTTCTAGAAAGTTTTATTACCTTATAAAACCAAAGACATGAACAGAGCTTTAAGATCATCTAGCCTAGTTATTAGAACATTTTTCTAAGAACCTCTTTGCTGCCACTAAGGTCAGAGTATGTGATAGATTGAGTTTAGCTCCTTTACCATTATTCAAACAGATCTGTTCTGAGTTTGCCTTTTATATATAGCAGTTCCATAAAAGTTTCATTGCAAAAAATGGTTAAGCTGCTTAAAACAGTTTGAAATCCACTGCTTTACACTATACTTTGGAGATGAGAAATTTCTTCTCACCTGAAAGCCAGAGTGGAAATGGCTTTAATATCACGAAGTTAGTGCTTTGAACTTTGAAATAATTAAAGCATATTTTTTCTCAGATGTCAAGACTTCAGTGATACCTGTCCTAAGACCCTCAACTCCCTGCTCACTCTGTAACAGGTACACTCACCTCCGCTTTTATTTTATTTTTTAAAATAATTCGAGAATGCTTCTGCCCTAAAGATTTCATCCTGGATGTTCTCCATGGCTGAAATGGCCTTTCCCAAGATAACTGCATATGTCTTTCCTATAACTTGAAATTAGAAGAACAAGGCAAATTTGAGAACTAGTTTTCCTGTGATTTGCTCACTAATGTTTCTCCAGAACCCAGAACAATGCTTAGAACACAGTGGATTCTCCATAAATATGTGATTATTGGAAGAAAAGAAGTAGTTAGAAATGAACAATTGATTAGCTAAATGTTCAAGTAATATTGAACTATTTGCATGTCTAATTAATCAATTTTAAAGCCATCTTTTTCATGTCAATTATGCAATAGTAACCACATTTGCATTACTGGTTTATTGATAAGAATTAGTTTTAAGGAAAATCTGCCCCCTTTTCATTAATATATGTAGATCTAATTGGAGATAAAATTTCAATGATTATTTTTAGATACATGAAAATTTGGGCATTGCCTCTTAACAAGATTACATTTTTGATTATTATGTAATCAGCTATCACTTAGCTCACAAATTTAGGCAAAAATCTTGATTAAAATTACCACTGTTATTTTAAAATAATGTAATTCTGCTTCTTACCCTGAATCAGACACCCACTCTGCCATACACATCCGGAGGACTTTCTTGATTAAAACACTGAGTTATCTAATTACTTCTGTGCCCTACAAATGTATAGCATATGTTGAAAAAGTAGAAGCATGAGATTTTTTAAAATAGATTTTCTATTTATCTTTCTTACTGAAAATTTTAACCCATGCTACTTAATTATCTTTATTTAAGCATTAAAGTTTCTCAACAAAATGTGTAATTTGTGCTCTTTGTTATGCTCATTTCCATTTTTGGAAATATTGTTAAGCTTGTTTGAATATATTTGAAGCACTAATAACAAGAAAAAGCTTATTTTCTCCATAGAAAAACTAGTTGTCTTAATTTTGCCTTGTTCTTCTAATTTCAAACGTTCCCCCCCCCCAGTTATACAGTGACTTTTATGTATTCTAGAGAAATTACCACTTATCCAAGTGCATATAAAAATTACTCCTCAAATAATTAATAGTAATCATCACCACTTTGTATATTTGTATTTATTTTCTCTGCATGTATTTCTCAACAATTTTGATTCTTTCTTTTCCAGAATATAAAACTTATATTTCCTAAAACATTCCTTTTAAATTTTAACTCGCGCGTGTGTGTGTGTGTGTGAGAGAGAGAGAGAGAGAGACAGAGAGAGAGAGAGAGACAGAAAGGGAGATTTCAGCTTGAGAGTAAGCTATGTTAAACTTTATCACTAATAAATCTCATAAATGTCTGGATGTGTCTAGACTCAAAGAGTGGTGCCTTGATTAAGTGAAAGTCTGTTTCATTGGGAAGTCAAATAAATTTTGGGGAAAGCATTAATTCTAAGGAAAGAGGGTGTCAGACCCAAGGCTGGCACAATAATAATACTTTTCTTATTCCCAGGAACAGGACCTGGCATATCACTGCAGCACAATTAATATTTTAAATGTCTGGTTAAAAGAACAGCTGAGAATAAAGTATAGTCACTTCCATCTACATTTTAAAATTCAGCCTAAATGCCATAAACTTGTATGTGAATCCAACAGAGAAGGTTATTAAAAACAAACAAATAATAATAAAAAAAAATCCAAAACCTAAGGATGTGGGTAAAGATGTTATTTTTACCCACACAGACACACTCACACATGCCTGGACATACACAATCTCTACAATATAGTGAAAAAGAAAGCAGCATTGATCAGAGACAAATACAGAAATGTAGATGTCTGTGTGTGTGTGTGTGTGTGTGTGTGTCTGTGTGTGTTGTGTGTAACAATAGAGCTCAATTATCTAGGCTTTTCACAAAAAAACATATGGCAGCTTTGGCTCAGAAGGATAATTCATCCTGCCTTTGGCCATACCAACCTCCTAATTATGGCCACTATTTATTCTGCCTTCCTCGTTGTTTTTGCTTGTTTCTTCTTCTGGAAACAGTAAATTATTCACTACCCCCATCTCTGTTTCTCTCTCTCTTTTCACACAGCCCCACAGACACACACACCTACACATACAGAGTTCTCATCTGGCTAGCTCCTAGTCAATTGTACAAAACCTCTAGGCCTAAATTTAATTCCTCTGAAATAAATCAGAAGTGAAATTAGTCTCCATTTTTTATTTTCCCTCAGACTACCCTACATTTTGTTTTACAATATTATGATTTATAATTCCATATTAATTATTCATTGGCTCACCCAGTAGGGTATGAAGCCCATCAGGCTAGATTATTCGACTGTATTATTCCACAGTATAACTCAGCATATAATACACAGTGAAGATGTGCTAAGAATTTGGTGAGTGACTTGATGATTGGAGACTGGCCTTTGGGCCCATGTTCCAGCAGCTCCCCTGACAGCATGTTGTGCATCTGTGGCTGAAGGAGCCATCATAAAAAAAAGAACCGACAATGGGAAATGCTGCTTTAGCATCTTTTAGGGCAATAGCAGCTGGGACTTTTTGCAGAAATATTAGCCTTCTTGAATATGAGTTTCCAGAAGTGGTAGCACGTGCTATTATTGCTTGATTATAGCTCAGAAACATGTTTATTCTTGTCTGTTCTCATCCCTTACATTATAACTGTGCTCAAAGCATCTATACCACCATCAAATTGAGGGCAATTTTAATGAGTCAAGTTTTATTAAACTCATTGGAATTTTATTCAAATTCTACTTTTATTCAACACTGAGAATGACCAATGTTGTCTATGTACAGATATCAAACAACATAGAACTGTCCTCACTCAGGAACAAATAATAAAGAAATAATACCTCCAACATGGGACCTAGTGATTTCATGCAACAAATATTTATGAAATATTATCAATATATGGAGGAGAAAGCAAACTTTTGAAAGAGAGAAAAACATTTTTGAAACCAGTACTGTTATTGGGGTCTAGTGTCTTGGTACCCTAGGGAAAACTGTAGGATCTACGCTCTGTTTTTGGAGGTAGCTTAGAAGGTAACCTTTGGCATGTTAACTTACACAGAGTTAAACAAAATTTCCCATGTTTTGTAGGCATATATTTATGGTGACTCTGTTAAGCTTGAGATGGATCTTCTATTTACCATTGATTGAATTATTCAGAGGTAATCATTCTTATATGTTTTGAAGCAGTTCTTCAAAATGAATTTATGTAATACTGCATCCCATATTGTATTCCTATGTCCCGGGACTTAACCACTTTCATTCCATTTATCTATCTATCCATACATTCTTCCATGTGCTCTCTACTATTTATTGAATTTTAATTATACCATTAGTGTGTTATATACATTTAAAATGTCAACATATTTATCTCTTACAGCAACCATTTGGAATGAACATGGGTGCTGACAAGCCTATTTCCCTGACAAGTAGATTCATTAACCTGAGGTTCAATTACTTTTTCAAGGTGAGATATCTAGTAGACAGTGAAACGGAACCGTGAACTCATGCAGGGGTTTGTGATCCTCACAAATACACATCTCCAGATTAGGTTTACTGGATCAGGTTGTGAAATACCAACTTCTTCCCTTTTGCTAATACTATGTTAGAATGATGAAATGTAGGATAAAATGTAGAGCAGAGTGATGAAATGAACTGAAGCAGAAAGTAGAAGACAAAATGGCTTTGCTTGCCTCATATAAAAATTTCGGAATAATTGGAAAAATAGTAGAAGTTCACGCCTCTGATAGACTGTAGGAGTGTGAACATCTTCAATTTTATCATAACAAACCTTGGTATGTAATTTCTTAGTCCTATCTATATTTTACTGAATGGAAATTACAATTATATATCACTGATTAATTTGTTGATTCCTAGGTTACCCCATCTTTGCTTTCTTTTAAGTAATTTTATGAGAATTTTGATGGCACTGCTAAGCTAGCAAATATTTTACTTCAAAAGTTTCTGAATATTCTCTAATTCAAAGGAATGATTCACCAATTTTGAGATTATATTTTCTTAAAAAACAATCTACCTATTTAAGGAATAACTTTAGGTTGAAGATATTAGATTTTCATTGTCCAGATGTATTTTTATTAATTTATTACATGTTTTCTTTATGATAAGTTTATTTTGTTTAATATATAGTCCAGTGGAAACTAGTTATGGGCTTAATCCCGTGTATTTTGTTGTTGTTTCCAATGTCATAAACTATACCTGGTCCCTGGACATTGGACTCATGAATAAAAGCCACCAGTTACAACGGAAATTGATTAGGAAAATGATGTTATAATTCTCAGCATTACTGTAAGGTAATTTAGAATATATCTGCTCTCATGATGGGATACATGCATTACTGATTTAGAAAGGTGATATTTTATCAAAGCATGTGGAAGTCTATATGGGAAACATTCTTGATTCTCATTCTTTGTCTCTGTCTCAATATGTTTCCCTTTTTGTTTCACATGTATATGTATTATACATATATATACAGTCATGCACCACATAACAATGTTTAAGTCAATGATGGACCGCATATACAATGATGGTCCTATAAGATTGTAACACAGTAATTGTACTGTATCTTTACTATGTTCAGATATGTTTAGATACCCAAACAGTTACTATTGTTTTACAATTCTCTATAGTATTAAGTACAGGAGCATGCATTTCTTGGAATGTATCCTTCTCATTAATGAATGCATGACTGTATCTATGTCTATCTATATCTATTTTGCTATCCTCTATCTCTCCTCTTTCTTTGTTCTGTGACTTTCTGTATTATTTTCTGCCTCTTGGGTCAGTCTGTCTCTCTCTCCCTGTCTCTGTTTCTGTTTCTCAAATTATTTATTCAGGTGGAAAATAGAAAAAGATAAATAGTTTGCTGGAACTTGTAACATGTATGGCAAGTTAAAATTGGTGAATATGACCCTCAGTGTGAAATATCATACTTAAGAAGTTAAAGTGCAGTTGTAAAACTTAGAAGATTGTGTTTACTAAAAAAGCAAGAATTAAGCTAGATAAATTTAATGAAAATCTTACTACAGAAGATGTGTAAATATAAACATTGTTCATAAATTTGCTAATTTATCTTTCCTGCTAAGAAAATCATTCTGCTTATCTTAAAGTCAATATCCAACAGTATAAATAAACAGGAAAATTAATTTAAAAAGGAAATGTGTTGTTTTAGTTTTTAGAAAAGTTAGAAAGAATACTTTTAAAAAACGTACGTAATGCTAAAAAAAATTGCACTGAGGAAAAATGTAGCAAACATAGAAACCCCCAGTTAAATTAGCAACATTTACAATTTTTAATCCTTTTTAGTTTCCTGGGAAGTTGGTATAAATAGAGTTATAGTAATTATTGTTTGTTAACATTTGTAAATTATTTGGAAAAACAGGAAGAGCAAATTGCCTTAATTATTTTTCAGTGAAATATTATATTGATGATTTTGTTTTAAAAATGTACTCATGTTAAAAGCAATTTTATTTTCAAAGTAAATTTTATGATAATGATCATCATATATATTTTCACTTATTTAGCATTCTCAATTTACTGTGGTTTTCCCGAAGTAAACAATATTATCAGTATTTCATTCCTTCTTATGGCTGCAGGGCATTCCATTTTGTGGCTATAACTCTTTTTTTATGAGTATGCAGTAGTGTATTATTAATGGGATACATGAGATATTTTGATACAGGCATACAATGTGTAATAATCATGTCAGGGTAAATAGGGTGTCCATCATCTCAAGTATTTATCATTTCTCTGTCACAAACATTCCTATTATACACTTTTAGTTATTTTTAAATGTATAATAAATTATTGGGTTTTGTTTTGTTTTTTCAAGATGGAGTCTGGCTCTGCCCTCCAGGCTGGAGTGCAGTGGTGCGATCTCGGCTCACCGCAACCTCTGCCTCCCAGGTTCAAGCAATTCTCCTGCCTCAGCCTCCCGAGTAGCTGGGACCACAGGTGTGCACCTGGTAAGTTATTTTGGTATTTTTTAGTAGAAATGAGGTTTCACCATTTAGGATGGTCTCGAACTCCGGACCTCAGGTAATTTGCCCCCTTTGGCCTCCCAAAATGCTAGAATTACAGGCGTGAACCACCATGCCCAGCCAATGAATTGTTGTTGACTGTAGTAATCTTGTTGTGCTATCAAATATTAGGCCTTGTTCATTCTATCTAACTATAGTTTTGTTACCATTAACCATCCCTAATTTCCCCTACAACCCCTAACGTGTTTCACCTTCTGGTAGTGATCCTTCTACTCTCTATCTCCATGAGTTCCATTGTTTTAATTTTTAGCTCACACAAATGAGTGAGAACATGCAAAGTTTGTCTTCCTGTGCCTTGCTTATTTCATTTAACATAGTCTCCTCCAGTTCCATCCATGTTGTTGCAAATAGCAGGACCTTATTCTTTTTTATGACTGAGTATGGTAATTCATTGTGTATATGTACCACATTTTCTTTATCCATTTGTCTGTTGATGGACACATAGGTTGCTTCGAAATCTTGGCTATTGTGAATCGCACTTCAATAAGCATGATACTGCAGATATCTCTCCAATATACTGATTTCCTTTCTTATAGATAAATACCTAGCTAGATGATTGCTGGATAACATGGTAGTTCTATTGTTAGTTTTTTGAGAGACCTCCATACTGTTTTCCATAGTGGCTGTACTAATTTATTTGATACATTCCCACTAATAGTGCAGAAGGGTTCCCTTTTCCCCACATCCTCACCAGCATTTCTTATTGCCCGTCTTTTGGATAAAAGCCACTATAACTGGAGTGAGATGATATCTCATTGTAGTTTCGATTTACACTTCTTTCATATTCAGTGTTTTTGAACATCTTTTTCTATATCTGTTTAGCATTTATATGTCTTCTTTTGAAAAATGTGTGCAGATCTTTTGCCCGTTTTTAAATCAGATTATTAGACTATTTTTTCTTGTTGAGTTGTTTGAACTCCTTATATATTCTGGTTATTAATCACACGTCAGATGGAGAGTTTGCAAATATTTTCTCCAATTTTGTGGGTTGTCTCTTCACTTTGTTGATTCTTTCTTAGCTGTGCAGAAGCTTTTTAACTCAATGTAATCCCATTTGTCCATTTTTTGCTTTGGTTCCTGTGCTTGTGGAGGATTGCTCAAGAAAATTCTGCTCAGCAAATGTCTTGGATGTCCTGGAAAATATAGTTTTAGGTCCTTGATTTCAGTCTTTAATTCTTTTTTTATATAATTAGGGGGAGGAGTTTAGTTTCACTCTTCTGTATATGGATATCCAGCTTCCCCAGCATTATTTATTGAAGAGATTGTCCTTTCCCCAATGAATTTTCTTAACACCTTTGTCAAAATGAGTTCACCATAAATGTGTGGATTTCTTTCCAGGTTCGCTGTACTATTCCATTGGTCTATGTGTCTGTTTTTATGCCAGTAGCATGCTACTTTGATTACTATAGTTCTGTGATATAATTTGAATTCAGGTAATGTGATTCCTCCAGTCTTGCTCTTTTTGCTCAAAATGCTTTTGACTATTCTGATTATTTCATGGTTACATATACATTTTAGGATTATTTTGTCTATTTCTGTGAAGAATATCATTGATATTTAACTGGATTTCATTGAGTATATAGATGGTTTTGGGTAGTGTGGACATTTAAAAAATATTGATTCTTCCAGTCCATACATTTGTGGTATATTTACATTTTATTGTGTCCTCTTCAATGTATTGCATAAATATTTAACAGTTTTCACTTTAGAGATCTTTCACTTCTTTGGTTTATTCCTAGGTATCTAATTCTTTTGTAGCTATTGTAAATAGGATTACTTTATTGCTTTCTTTTCCAGAAAATTTGCTGTTGGCATATAGGAATGATACTTATTTTTGTATGTTGATTTTGTATACTGCAACTTTACTAAATAGTTTTAATAGTTTATTGATGTGATCTTTAGATTTTTCCAATTATAAGATCATATCATCTGGAAACCAGGATAATTTGACTTTTTCCTTCCCAGTTTGGATTCCCTTTATTTCTTTCTTTTGTCCAACTGCTCCAGCTAGAACTTCCAGTACCAAGTTGAATAATAGTCATTAAAGTGGGCATCCTTCTTGTGTTCCAGATTTTAGAAGAAAGGCTTTCAGTTTTTCCTTATTCAGAGTGACACTAGCTGTAGGTCTGTTTTACATGGCTTTTATTGTGCTGAGGTATGATCCTTTTACTCCCATTTTTTTAAGGTTTTTATCATGAAGAGATGTCGAATTGTATGAAATCCTTTTTCAGCATCAATTAAAATGAACATATGTTTTTTATCCTTCATTCTATTGATAGGATGTATCATATTGTTTTATTTCCCTGTGTTGAAATCTTTTTACATACCTAGGATAAACCTCACTTGGTCATGATGAATAATCTTTTTAATGTGTTGTTGAATTCTGTTTGCTAAATTTTGTGGAAGATATTTGCATCAATGTTAATCAGGGATATTGGCTTGTATTTTTTTCTTTTTTGATGTGTCTTTTAATGATTTTGGTATCAGGGTAATACAGGCCAAATAGAATGAGTTTGGAAATATTCCCACCTAATCTTTTTTCAGAATAGTTTGACTAGAATTGATATTAATTATTCTTTAAATGTTTGGTGGAACTCAGCAGTGAAGCCATCATGTCTGGGGCCATTTTTGGCTGGGAGACTGTTATGGCTTCAATCTCATTACTAGTTATTGGTGTACTGAGGTTTCAGATTTCTTCATGCTTCAATCTTATAGGTTATATATGTCTAGGAGTTTGAACATTTCTTCTGGGTTTTCCAATTTATAAGTTTGTAGCTGCTTATAGTAGTTTCTAATGATCTTCTGAATTTATGTGGTGTCAGTTGAAAGTATACTTTTTCATCTCTGATTTTATTTGGGTCTTCTCTCTTTTTTTCTTCATCTTGTTGACCCTTTGTATTTTTCTGTTTTGTTTTGTTTTGTTTCAATATCATCCATTTCTGTTCATATCTTTATCTCTTTTCTTCTACTAATGTTGGGTTTGGTTTTTTCTTGCTTTTTTAATTCTTTAAGATGCATCGTTAGAGTTTTATCTGAAGCTTTTCCACATTTTTGATGTAGACACTTTGCTATAAACGTTCCTCTTAGTACCACTTTTGCTATATTTTATAGACTTTGGAATGCTGAGTTTCCATTATTATTTATTTCAATAAATTTTTCAATTCCCTTGTTTATTTCTTCATTGATGAACTGGTCATTAAGGAACATATTGTTTAATTCCTACACGGTCATACATTTACAAAGTTCTCATCTTTATTGATCTATAGTTTTGTTCCTCTGTGGTCGGAGAAGATACTTGATATGATTTAAATTTGTAAATTTTAAATTTTCATTCAGATTTGTTGTGTGGTATAGTATAAGGTCTATACTAGATAATGATTCATGTGCTGAGAAGAAAAATGTGTAATCTGCAGCCACTGGATTACTGTCCTGTAAATATCTAGTACGTCAATTTGGTCTAGAGTATAGATGAAGTTAAAGGTTTCTTTATCTAGTTTCTATCTTTATTATCTGTTCATTGATGAAAGTGGGGTGTTAAAGTCTACAACTATTATCGCACTAGGGTCTATCTCTCTCTTTATCTGTAATACTAGTTGATTTATATATCTGGGTGTTCCAGTGTTGTGTGCATACATATTTACAATCACCATGTCCTCTTGCTGAATTGACCCTTTTATTATAATATAAAGATCTTTGTTTCTTTTTATAGTTTTATGTAAGTCTATTTTGCCTGATATAAGTATAGCTACTACTGCTTTTTCTTTTTTGACTTCCATTGGCATGGAATAACTTCTGTTCTTTTATTTTCAGTCCATATATGTCTTTGGAGGTTTAGTATGTTTCTTGAAAGCAATAGATCATTGGGTTTTGTTTGCTTATCCATTCAGCCACTCAATGTCTTTTGATTGCAGAGTTTAGTCCATTTATATTCAATGTTATGAATAAGCAGAAATTTACTAGTGCCATTTTGTAATTTACTTTTTGGTGGTTTTATGGTCTTCTTTTCCATTTTGTGAAGTTGATTTTCTCTGGCAGTATGTTTTAATCTCTTGCTTTTAATTATTTGTATATCTATTGTAAGTTTTTTGAAGTTACAATGAGGCTTGCAAATAATATCTTATAACACATTATTTTAAACTGATGGCAACTTAGCACTGATTACAACAACAAACCAACTAACAAACAAGCAGAGAAAACTAATACAAATCTATACTAATTTCATCCCCCCTTTTAACTTTTTGTTGTTTCTATTTATATCTCACTATACTATGTCTTGAAAAGTTGTTGTAGTTATTATTTTTGACAGGTTCATCTTTTTGTCTTTCTACTCAAGATATGAGTAGTTTACTCACCACAATTACAGTTATAATATTTTGTATTTGTCTGAGTACTTATTTTTACCATTGAGTGTTGTACCTCAAGATGATTTCTGGTTGCTTGTTAATGTCCTTTCTTTTAGACTGAAGATCTTTTCTCTATAGGACAGATCTCATGTTAATAAAATCTCTCACCTTTTTTTTTGTCTGACTCCCACTTTTACTTCTTCTTCATGTTTGAAGGATAGTTTCACTGGATATACTATTCTAAGATAAAAGTTGTGTTTTTTTTTTCCTTCAGCACTTAAACATGTCATATCACTCTCTCCTGACCTGTATGTTTTCCACTGAGAAATATGCAGCCAGACTTATTTGAACTACTTTGTATGTTGTTTCTTTCCGCTAACCGCCGTTGGGATCATTTCTGTATCCTTGGCTTTGGAGTTTGTTTACTAAGTACCTTGAGGTAGTCTATGTGGGTTTAATCTGCTTGCTTTTCTATAACCTCT